TAAAAGATGAAAAAAGACACTTGATTTCAGAGTCCTGCATAAAATAATATCTGTGTGTCAGAAACTAGGCACTTTGTGAACCTACAATTGACACTTGGTACTTAGGTGATTGAAGGAGAGGGCTCCTCACAGGTTTGTGTTTACCAGTTAAATGCCAAACTCTCATCTAATTCATCAGGAGGAGTTTTCTGAGGCTGGGTTTCTCTTTTTTCAGCTCCAAATACACTATTACAGATAATTTCAACTGAAGTAACAATGCAAATTGTTTTTAAAATATACCATTCATTAGAAGCAAACTCAGCAGCAATAGTAATACAGAATATACAAAGAACTATAAAATGGAGCAGCATATGATTAATTGTAATTAATTATAATCCAACAAATGCCTGGGCAGAAAAGTGCATCTGCAGGAGGGATTTACAACACATCAAATCAAAAAGAACTAACAGCTTCTCCTTGTCCCATTCCCAGTAAGGTAGTCCAATAGGGTGAACAAGGTAAATTCTGTCCCCAAATTGGGTTTGAACCAAGGCTGGAATAGATCCAGATAATCACTCTCATTGAAGAATGCCTGCAGCTGAGTAGCCACCACTCCCTTGAGCATCTTACTCATATTTGTGACTGGATGACAGTTGGCATAGCTTTCTCTCTCTAAAGAAGGGCTTTTTTTCAGAGTGTGACAACTTCCTTCAAAGCAATAGCAACCATACCTTCACATAATAATGAATTTCCCTCCCTCTCCCACAAGTCAGTCAATCCCCTGCACATAGCTTTACAAAATCATGAATGATAAGGGTTGAGAGAGCATGTGGTGGGTCATACAAGTGTCCCTGTCCTCAGGCTCCAAAAACTAAAACCAGAACCACAGAAAAGGATAAGACGATGCACCTGGCATCAGTAGAACACTGCATTGATAGTAGTGTTTAAGTCAACATGAAGGTGGGCTTGATGTTATCCTCAACTCACAGTAGGTGTCTGAAAGCTGCAATATTGGGTTCAGAATTAGCATGTGCTTATTTATAGGGACAGATGTAGATTTATACAGAATTGTTACAATTTTAATAGCACAGCTCACTATGGAGTGCAGGTCCATGATGAGGTGACCTCTTCAGCCTGCTGATCAGGTGCTCATTGCTGTTGGGCAACAGGTCTGATAGTTCTTTTCTTTAACAACAACAACAACAACAGACTTATTCTAAATAATAGAAAGTTGTTTCCCCAGATGTATTTTGGGACTTGGATGTTTTGAATGACACTAATTATTTTGATCCATGCCAGTCTGGGTTCAGGAAAGAAACTGCCTTGGTGACCCTGGTCAATGACTTCCACTGGGGAGTGGATAAAGGGAGAAGGACACTGTTGGTGCTCCTGGACCTCTCAGCAGCTGTCAACACTACTGACCAGATATTGACCATATTATCCTTCCTGATTGGACCTGGGGGCACTGCTTTTGTTGCAGTGACTCTGGTCCCTCCTGGGAGGATACCTCCAGAAGTTGGTGCTGGAGATTTTTATCCCAGCTCTGGGCCATCAATGTTTGAGGTGCCTTAAGTTTATGCCTTGTCTGCCATACTTTTCTACATCTGCATGAAACCATTGCAAGAAGTTATGCAGAAGTCTGGGCTGAACTGTAATTATCAAGAAAGAGTGGACACAGGTACACTGGGGGTGCACAATCAAAAGAACGCTTATAGTTTATTCAGACATACAGGAAATATATGCAGCATGCAGCCTGCCCCCAAAGGGACTACCAAGAAGGAGTCTGTACAGGACGCTTTTATAACCTATTACATACACAGTTTGGAGGTGGATGGGGAATCAGGTAGGTCGTTTGCTAGAGGCATACAAAAGGGTTGAATGGATTAAGGCAACACAAAAGAAGGAGTTTCAAGACAGGCAGAGATTAGCATAACTAAGCTATATGTGGGGAACAAAACTTGCAGCATCCTGATCAGATCAGGATGCCTTCTTACATCTAAAGCCATTCTTCCTGTGGCAGGCTTTTGGCAGCCATATTGATAGGCATGAAAGGATGATTTGAAACAAGGGAGTAAAGAGATTTGAAAAGGTAACAAAGAAAATTACTTAGCCCAAAGAAGGGGAGGGGCTAAAATCAGCACAAGGTATGGGGAAACAGGCATGTAGGCAGGAGGGTCAAATACTTCCTGATTGTTGATGGACAAGCTGGGCAGAACAAAAGGAGCCTATTGTAGCCCACTGGGGGCAGGGCTGGATTGGGAAGACAGCCAGTGTTAGGGGCAGTGCGAAGTAGGCGGGCGGAAAGAGTGTAAACTCTCATTACCCTAGCCAATAAGGGGAAAAAAGGAAGAAGTGGCCGGGGGAGGGGGGGGCAGGACATATAAAATGAGATGTGAACATGTGCTCAGGTGAACAGAAAAGTGGGAAGGAAACCATTGTTTTGCTGTTCTCTTCATTGCAATAAAGTTTTAAAAAGAACTCTCTGCATGCCTGGAATATTTTCTCTTCCGATGGAAAGGAAAGAGTGATCATAACAATATTATGGCAAAACTTTTGCTGATTTTGTCCTGACATGATCAATACGTAGATGTCACACAGCCCTGCTTCTCTGTGTTTGCCATCCACTCCTACAGCAGTAACTGAGACCCCTTTATAAGTGTCTGGGGCAGTACAGGAATGGATGAAGATTAACAATCTGAAATTTAATCCTGATGAAATGGAAATTATCCACTAATATGAGGGAGTTTTAGCCCTAACTCTGCATTGGTTCACTTTACCCCTGAAGGAACATGCACACAGTATAGGAATATTCCTGGATTCAGCACTGCCTTGCTTATAGCCATCTCATATTAACAATAATCCTTTCTATGTGGAGATGGCCTTGAAGACAATTTAGAAACTGCAACTGGTACAGAAAAGTGACAGCTAGAACACTTGCAGAAGCTAGAGCCTGAATAATATCACTCCTGTTGTGTACAGTTTATATTCCCTGCCTTTTCCTGGTCCAATTCAAGGTACTGGTTTTGGCCTTTAAAGCCCTAAATGGTTTGGAACCAAGTTACCCGAAGGATCACCTACATTTGAGCCTCCTCATGTGCTAACATCAGCATCAGTTTGGCCCT